ATTGGTTCCAAAGCCCATTAGGCCAATCAAAACAACCAAGCTATCAAAAACATTCCACTTGTTCTGAAAATAGTAGTAAGGATCTAGAGCAATGATTTTCAAGAGCATTTCTAGTGTAAAAATCAGAGTGAAGAACTGGAAAGACAAAAAAGAAATTCAGAAAAAAGTCACTGAAGAACTCTGTCTCCTTATGGGACTATTCCAGTATAAATACAGGGTTATAACTCCATATTCACCCTAACATAGACCTCACTTACCTCATTAGTTATAGAAATCATTATTCTTTTTTCTGGTAACATGCCAAGGTGATCCATAGCCATGAATAAGGTGTTCAAGACAATGCAAACCATGATAAAGAGTTCAACAAACGGATTCAAAATCACCAATTTCACCTTCTCTTTGACTGCTCTCCAGAATGGACAACAATTCCAAATTAGACACTTTGGAGCAAAACGTTTCCAAAATGCAGGACATTTCAATTTTGACTCTAGCAGAGAAAGAGGGAAGGTGGCATATGAATAATCCTGTGTGGAATATCATAGTATGAAGAAAAGGAAAATCAGTCAGAGAAAAGATTGGAAAGAAAAATCAATCTCATGTGAGCAGAATGGCATCACTGAAGAAAACGTTTCACTCCTACTACACAAACTAATCACAGGCTATTGCAGGTCACCATCAACAAATGTCATAATGACAGAAACAGGGGATATCACCCACTTCTTCGTATGTTTATTATTCTTTCCTGTGAGGTTGGGGAGGCCCTGGCACAGGTTGCCCAGAGAAGCTGTGGATGCCTCATCCCTGGGAGTGCTCAAGGCCAGGTTGGATGGGACTCTGAGCAACCTGGTCTAGTGGAAGGTGTCCCTGACCATGGCAGGGGGTTGGAACTAAATGATCCTTAATGTGTAATCCAACACAAACTGTTCCATGATTCTATGATTACACTATTAAAGGATAATAAAGGATCTGCATTAAGGAGAGAAATCTGTTTCTGGGACAATGACAACCTGTGTCCTGTGAGTTGAACCTGCCCAGCCACAGGTGTCCATAGCTGAGGACAGGCTTATAAGTGAGGTTGGAAGAGAGCTCAGGGGATCTGTAGTGCAACCCCCTTCTCCAAGCAGGGCCAGCCATCAGGTCAGAGACTGCACAACCTCTTCCTCTGAAAATGGGCAACGTTTCTGCTTACACACACTTTGAAATTCTCTTCTTTCAATCAAGTTGGTCAGGCATGATTTACCCTTGGTAATTGTGAGTTACAGTCACAGTTATATGAGATATGAGAATATTTATTTTACTGAAATTGATATTTGCAGCGTAATTTCCCCTAGTGGTTTTAAAATAATGCTGCATGTTTGAGACAGTTTGATCTCTCAGGTCACATTACACAATCTCATAGGAAAAACAGGAAAGAATGACTTACTCAAATTGTCTGTAAGAATAGTGGCTGCACTCATTAACCTCTGTCTTCGGAAAGGATCATTAATAGAGTCCACTGACACATCATAGGACAGCAGGATCTGCCTCTTTGGTTACAAGGACAACAGAAGGTAACATAGCAAGGGAATATGAAAAACTGGCAATACAAAAATTATGTCCAGCATGAGATAAATATGCCTTTTTAAAAACACATTGAAGGGAAGCTTTACTTTGGTGACAATATATAAAACAAAGAATACAACACTATCAGGTCTTTGCTTTAGAAGGCAAAGGGTATTTCATCAAAACCAGTAAATTTCTTCATGAAGTTGTTTCCTTCTGAAAATATTTAATAACAATAATAATGTCATTATAGAAGAAGTATAGAAACATTAATGGGGCAAGGGAAAAGAATCCTTCCATCTTTCCAGTAACTGATGAGAAGAGCAGACAAAAAGAACACTGACCATCAGTTTGAATAAACTATTCCCTATTTAACAATTATAATTATTGATGATTAATAAATATTATACATTTATTAATAGGAAAAATAGTCAAGTAGTTAACAAATATTATTGCTTTTTCCAGCACTACTAGGCCTATCTAGATCTCTACTAATATTGAACTGCTTAAAACTAGGAATGGCACTACTTTTATTTTCATTAGAAGCCACAGAACGCTCAGCTCAGTGCTCCTGATGTGAGCTCAAGGACAGACAGGTCAACACTTGTATCTTATGGGATACACTGAATTATTATCAAATATTCTGTTCATGACACATTAACACACACACTTTCTCAAGATTAAGTAGACAATCGTAAAACATGGGCTGCAAAGAATATGTGAGACTCTGAGGTAGAGAAAATCAGAAAGAATTTCACTGAAATTTCACAGAATACCCTGAATTGGAAGGGACCCATGAGGATCATCCAGTTCCAGCTCTTAAGTGAATGGCCCATGGAGGGATTGAACCCACAATCTTGGTGTTATTAGCACCAGGCTCTAACCAAACAAAGATTCCAGTATCAGGAAGGATATAATTAGAACTACCAGTTGACAGGGAACCAGACAGACTGAGAGTGGATAGACTGACCACATCACAATGCCCAGTACCTTGGTATTCCCTCTCAGCACAACCTGAATGAAACTGATATCCTTGGCCTCAGGGGTTTAATAATCATTATTTCTCTTTGCTAGTTTGATATTTTAATGAAAAAATAACCAAAATTTAGCTGATAGAACTGTCACAGAATGGACATATCAAAGGAATTGCCACTGACCTTGTTACGGCTGCTCATCTGTCTTTAACTGAGGGAAATAACTGGGGATGAGAAACTGGGATTTAAAAAAGGGATATGCTCTAGAGGAATGGTCCATTCAAATTTTTATAAACTGCTTAAGTCCTACCAAAATGTTTCTACCTGATATGCTTTTTTCTCTTTGACTTACTGTCTTAAGCCTCTTTTTGTGATGAAAGTAGAGAGCACATTGTTTGAAGAGTCCTCAGCTGTAGGAGAGACACCAGTAATTGTCATGTTTGTTGCAGTTTATATTTATTTGACTAATGAAAGAACTCTGTGTCAGAGCATCTCGCATTGGATAATGCTCTAGGCTTTTCTTTTGCTTTTGTTTTTTTTTCTTTTTTAATATGAAATTATTTTAGGTACTACTGACAGCCACTTCCAACTTCCCTTTCAAGGCCGTACGTGCTGTCTCCCTCACATCCCAAATACAGTTTTCAGATTGCTTTAAAAAACAAGTTATTCCAATGAATGTAGAAAGGAGGGGAAAATAAAAAAAAAGAGAGGAAAAATTGCAAACAAAGAAAGCTTTTCTGCTCATAGAATTGTCATATCACACCTAGGTCTAATGAATATATTTCCTATTTCAAATACTTACAAGCTTCTTGTGGCAGTGACCAGGCTGTGAATTAAATATTTGCTCCTCTTTCTCCTGATCATCTAAAATTACATTTTGTCTTAAAATAGGTATTTCTTTAATAATCTCTTTTCCTTTTGAATTTTTCAAGTCAGCAATTGGCATTTCAGACCCAACCTGCAAGGCCTTACTGCTTTCTGCTGCAGCCATCTCCTGGAAAAGAAAAGGCCAAAGGTCTGTCTATTAACATAAGGTAAATGCCAACACATGGACAAGGATAATATTCAATTTAATTTTTAATCATTAAATTATTACCCTGTCTGAATGCTGAGGTACTTGGTAAAATGATGATTCCTTACACCTTAATGCACTGCCAGGCAGTCTCATATCTTCGTTCACGAAGCCTAGCCATTATGATGACACCTTAATGATGAAATTGGATAGTTGCTGGGGGATATTTGTATGGCCTCTTACAAATCTGACTTTTTTGACTGCAAGCAGTAAATCAGAGGTCTCTTTTATAAAAAGCTACAAGATACAATAGGTCTTACCAATAATTTTCAACCCATCCTGCTGCCTTGGCTTAGAGCTTCACTTCTGGTGGATGAGAAGCTTGAGATGACCCAGCAGCGTGGGCCTGCAGCCCAGAAATAACTGTGTCCTGGGCTGCATCACGACAAGCATGGGCAGCAGGTCAAGGCAGTTGATTCTCCCTCTCTGCTCCCCTCTCATGAGACCCCACCTGCACTGCTGTGTCCAGCTCCAGGCCCCCCCCAACATCAGCAGGACATGGACCTGCCCAAGGGCACGGAGATGCTCTGAGGGCTGGAGCACCTCTGCTCTGGAGACAGGCTGAGAGAGCTGGGGTCATTCAGCCTGGAGAAGAGAAGGATTCAGGGAGACCTTAGAGCCCCTTCCAGTGCCTAAAGAGGCTCCAAGAGAGCTGGAGAGGGACTTTTTATAAGGGCAGGTAGTGACATGACAAGGGCTAATGTTTTTAAAGGGAAAGAAGAGAGATTTAGATTAGATGTTATGAATAAATTCTTTCCTGGCAGGGTGGTGAGGTACTGGCTTAAGGTGCCCTGAAAAGCTCTGGATGCCCCATCCCTGGAAGTGTTCAAGGCCAAGTTAGATGGGTTTTGGAGCAATCTGGTCTAGTGGAAGGTGTTCCAGACCATCCTGAACTGGAGGATCTTGAAGGTCCCTTGTGATCCAAACCATTCTGTGATTCTATGACTCAATGATTATCAGAAATAAAAGCAGGTGATCCCTGGCCCCTTACAGACCAAGGTATGAATGACTGGAACAATACTATGCCAAGAGGAAACACTGTGGAAATCTGATGTGTGTCTATTAACTCTCCTGCTCTCATCAACTGATAGACCTCCTGCATCCCATCACTCAGAAAGAGGCCTGACAACCTTTAAAATGCTGAGCACAGAGGCTCTTGGAAGGCTTTTTAATCCGGCCTGAACTCCGTCAGCACTGGAACTTCCAACTTCTGGGAACTGCAGAAATGACAATTTTTCTCATGGATGTAAATGTATCCACTCATATTTCCTTCATGAGACTACACAGTAATAGGAAGAAGGAATACCCAGAGAAAGGAATTTCTGTCCACAGCAATAATGGTAGTGTACAAGAACGGGGAAAACCATGGAATGCAGCACCTATGCAATACCATAAAAGCTACAAACTTCCCAACAAGCCATTCCTATACAATGTCAGGTCTGCAAATCCTAAAAGTTAATGATGGTTTTTTGTATCACAGAAATGTTTATATATTCAAATACATATATACATACACACATGGATTTATAGAGACACAAAGAGAAATGAAGTGTGAGAAAGTATTGCAAGAAGCACATGTTTAATTCAAAACATCATTTCCCTAATTCACATACAGAAGAAAACAGAAGGAACCACTTATTTTATGTAATAATTTACAAACCTGTTCTTTCTTTATAATGTCTTGGGCTTCCTGAAGTAGTTTTTTCTTGGTCTCTCTTTCAGCTCTGTTTTGCTCTTCATATGCCGTAGTTACCACAGCCAAGATCAGATTGAAGAGATAAAATGAGCAGAGAAGGATGAATACCACAAAAAAAAAAAAGCAGGTCACTCCAGATGTACGGATAGTCTGTGAGGAAAAGATAAAAGTTGTGATATATTCTAAACAAACTATTATTTACAATACAATTTCAAACTAACTTTAAAAAATTTCTTTTCCTATGCAATACAAAGGGTTAACATACTGCACTATTTTTATTAAACAACAGTAGAATCAGCCTTTGGTCCAAGTTATACAGAAGGTCTAGAAATACACCCAGTCAAGAGTTCCCTCAGCCTTGAAGTAAATGGATTTCAGCTCTTAAAATCCTCTCTATATTCACACCAGACAACGCAGAAAAGAACCGTGTCTTGCAGAATATACCATCTAAGGAGTCTTTCTGCTGTGCCTTTTGCAATCGGATATGTCTATCTCGTATTGGCCTCATTAGACACCAGTGTGCCGTAATAAATGTAGACAGAGCCCTCCTTAATCTTTGTTCGCGAAGCCTAGCCATGATGATGATGATGGTGATATTCACACCATGTTTTCTTTCTAGCATAACACCTCAAATATTCATAACAATACCTTAAACTGCAAGAAGAATCAATAAGACCCATTCTTAAAATTAAATTAAATATCTCCCAGTAAATCAGGCAAATGAACCTCATAGGTTAAGTGATGAGAAGTGAAGAGCTATACAGGTAGCTACAGAAGAAATAAATGAAACTCAGAAATAAAGATGGGATTATCTAAACAACCATGAAAGATATTATAATTACAGAATCGGAGTGATTACCTTACTCTTACATTTGTTTAAATGGCAGCAGAGGAGATGGCTCAAAATTAAGCTCTGAGACATTCAAATGACAAAAAGAAGTTATATCTATTTTTAAAAAGAAGTCTTAATAAAGTTTGATGGAAAAAATGTTAAAGTGGACAAGGCAGAGGATAATTCTTGTCTAGTAAAGGCACTGCATAGACATAAGGGATCCAGAGAGTTGTCTACATGCATTTTTATAGCATTTCTGAAAAAAAAAAACCCACCAGAATTCAAAAGGTACATTCAACTCTCTGAATCAAAACATCAAGCCTCCAAATTTTTAATGTCAGTTGTCAAAAATGATCTGAAACTAAAGTGTTGAGCCAAAAGGTTTGGTGAGGAGTCAGGACTTAAAAGGAAGAGGAACAGAGAAGGCAACAAGTCCTCACGCTCCCTGCAGCAGCAGTGAGCTCACTGGCTGGATCTGCTGTATATCCCAATCCTTGGGTGGT